TCCAGTCTCCCGCCACCCACGATGCAGCCACATGATTGGCCAGCGCGCGCTTCTTGACGTTCGCGCCACGAAGTGTGCCGATACGTCCCGACACGACAGGCACCGCGACTATAAATAGAGCGGTAGCGGAGTAATCGTCGGATTCACTCCCCGCCTCTCGACGCGTTAGTGTTCTGAGCTGTTGGACGTGAATCCCTGTCCTGGCATTTGGTTTTCACCTCTGGCTGCGTTGAGTAGTTGAGTTACTGTGACCAAATGCCCATCTTGGTAGTTAGTATTCGCCTCTGGTTGCGTTGAGTAACTGAGTTACCGTTGCTAACTACCCATCTTCCTGTTCTTTTGTTTTCTTTTTCTTTTTCTTTGTTCTCCTGAAGAAGCTACATACAATTGTAGCGAAACGTCGAGATGAACCCACTTTTGGGTCACTCACAAATGACACGGTCCAAACCCGGAAGACGAATAAACTATAATTCTGACTCTGGCCGTGGAAGCCTACGATTTCATTAAATATTATAATTTGCTACAATAAATAAATTATATATAGTAATAATTATTAATGTGTAATATTAATATATTGTCTTTACGTTTGACATAAAGATGACAGAACAAATGAATAAAATAGAAAAAGACTCCGTTCACTTCATTAATAGCAGCTAAAGTAAGATACTAAAAAATAACAACATTGTTGTAAGCAAAAGTTGAATTATTCCTCTGAACAGTGGCTCCACTGCTGAACATAGGCCTCCCGTAAATAATTCCATTGCATCTGATCTTGACCAGCTTTTATCCAGTTCCGCTGGGTACGCTTGATGTCGTTCGATCTTGTTGCAGGACGTCCTTGATTACAATAAGCTTCATGTCAAGGTCTCCGTTCTAAAATTTTCTTGATCCATCTTCCATCTTTGACTTTGGTATTATCTTCTTCTTCTTCTAGTTCCTATCCGTTTCGGATGTTGGAAATCATATTGGCAATCATAACCTTGGTCGCTGCGGCTCGAAACAGCTCCGTTGAGGTTTTCTTAAACCATGTTCTTAAATTCCGCAGCCATGATATTCTCCTTCTACCGGGTCCTCGCTTACCTTTGACTTTACCTTGCAATATAGACTGTAGCAGGGAGTAACGGTGCTGATTTGTCATAACGTGTCCCAGATATTGCAATTTTATGCGTTTGATCGTAAACACAATCTCTGGTTCCTTCTTCATCTTTCCTAGAACTTCCTTGTTCGTGATCCTTGCTGTCCATGATATTCTCAGCATTCTTCTATAAAGCCACATCTCAAATGCTTTAAGTTTTTTAATAGTGGCGTCTGTAAGCGTCCATGCCTCCGCCCCGTACAACAACACAGAGAAAACATAGCATCTCAAATGTCTCATTTTTGTATCAAGGGATATGTTGTGACTTTTGAAGATGGCGCTCATTTTGTTAAAGACCGTTCTTGCCTTTCCTATGCGGCACTTTATTTCCTGTAAATTGCTCCACTGTTCGTTAATAATAGTTCCCAGGTAACAATACTGTTTTACTCGCTCTATCTGCGTCCCATTAATGTATATATGAGCCCCATTTATATTCTCCTTGCTGATAATCATTTGTTTCGTTTTGTGGGTATTAATGTTTAGTCCGTACTGTTGACTGTACTCGTTTATTTTGTCCATTAGCCTCTGAAGTCCCTCTAAACTATCTGCTATCACCATGGTGTCGTCGGCATATCTAACATTGTTTACTCTTTCACCATTTAGAAGGATGCCTCGTCTATTCCGTAAAGAGCCTCGTTAAAAATTTTCTCTGAGTACATATTAAATATCAACGGCGATAGGATACATCCCTGTCTAACTCCACGTAGTATTTTTATGTGATCTGTTTCTTCTCCGTTAATTTTCATGTATGCGGTCTGATTCCAGTAGAGTTCTGAAATTATTCTGAGGTCTTTGTCATCCAGGTCTGTCTCTTTTAAAATGTTTATCATCTTTTGATGTTGAACTCTGTCAAATGCCTTTTCGTAGTCGATCAAGCACGCGTATACGTCGCAGTTAACGTCCCTGCATCTTTGAATCAGTACCTGTACTCCAAAAAGTGCCTCTCTGGTACCCACTGCGTTAATGAAGCCGAACTGTCTGTCCGATATTTGTTCCTCGCACTTCTTATAAATTCTTCCATGGATGACTCTAAGAAACAGTTTCAACATGTGGCTCATTAGGCTGATTGTTCGATATTCTTCGCACTTTTTAGCCCCCTGTTTTTTAGGTATCGCTATGAATTCTGATTCTAGCCATTTATCAGGGATGATTCCTGTATTGTAAATTTTATTGAAGACAGCCGTGATCCAAATATTCCTTCTTCCTCCAAGAGTTTTAAAAATTCAGCTTCGATATTATCAGGCCCTACAGCTTTCCTGCTTTTCATCCGTTTTATTGCTTCTTCTACCTCGGATTTAAGTATGTCCGGGCCCGTCATCCTCTCTGAAAATGGATGCCTATAATCCGTTCTGTTGGTCTTGAAAAAGTGTCTCCAAATATATTCTCCATCTGTCTTTCATGTCTTGGGTGTCAATGATTAATTTTCCGTTGGTGTAATGACTTTGGTATTATACCTACTTTGTATTGTAGTAAACTTATTCAAAAAGTGTTTGTATCTATCAACATGAAGCTGGCTAAAATGCAAAGAATTGAAACTCTAATAATGGTTTATTGTGGAGATAATGAGATTTCTGTACGCAGAAAGAGGTATGTACGTTATTTAATATTAAATACCTCCATCTAGAACAAATTTTCACAATCCACTGTAAACAAAATTGTGAAGAAATTCAGAGAAACAGGTCATCTCAAACATCTCTCTAAAGGTAGTGGAAAACCAATATATGAAAACAAACAGTTAAAGTTTCTGTTAGTTAAGACAATAGTCAAGACAAAATTAGAGAGTGATGATTCATTGGCAACTAGAACAAGATTAAACATATCGGCTATAATGGAGTTATTAACATTATGTACTGATAATACATATTTTTAACTAAATAATGAATTCTATAAACAAAATTTTGGTCTAGCAATGGGCTCTAGTTTATCTCCATTCTTAGCCGATATATTTATGGAAGATTTTGAAACAAATATCATTTCTAAACAAAATTTCAAACCCACAGTATGGTGGAGGTATGTAGATGATGTATTCTCAATATGGCCTTATGGATCAGAGTTGTTGGACACATTCCTAAATGATATAAACGATAAAGAAGAGACAATAACATTTACCATGGAAAAGGAATATAATAACACGCTACCTTTCCTGGATGTTTTAATCTCTAAGAACGATACTGGATATGAGACTCAGATGTATAGAACACCAACACACACCAATAGATATTTAAATTTCAAATCAAATGACAATATTAATGTAAAGAAGGGAATAATTAAATCCCTATACGATAGAGCCAAAATTACTTGTTCTAACGAAAATTCGTTCTTGGAAGGGAAACATTTGTTAAAATCTGTTTTATTAAAAAATATTATCCTTTATCGTTTATAAATAAGGAATTTTCAACAATCGATCGAATAGAACAGAACAACTTAGAACGAGATCCTACAGCATACACAAGGAATAATATGAGGAAAATAACAATACCGTACATAAAAGGACTATCAGAAAAACTTAAAACGATAGGAAATAAATTTAACATTCAAAACAACAAACACGTTGAGATCTATTTTGTCCAAAACCAAACCTAACAATGAACAAGAAAGGACAAAGAATTGCATTTATAAAATACCTTGTGAATGCGATCAATTTTATTTAGGTGAATCATCAAGGCCATTAAATGTTAGAATAAGTGAACACCAATCTTATATTAAAAATAGAGAATTTGATAGATCTCAAATCTGTAAACACGCATGGGATAATGAACATAGGGTTCTTTGGAATAATTCAAATGTAGTCCTAAAAGAAACGGATGGTAAAAAAAGAAAAATCAAAGAAGCGGCTCTAATTATGCTAAATGAGGCCAATTGTGTCGCAAATTCCTCGGCAGAATGTAGTAGGATCTGGTTACCAATATTGAAAGAGGAAGTTATTAATAAGAAAATACCAGTATTAGTAAGTCACTAACATATAGAGGATACATCATTTATGTTTTTTAAATAACGTAACATATAAAATCAGAATTTTGATGTTTGTTGAAGGTAAACTAAATTCACGAACAAATACTTACCATGTCGGGATAGTATTATGAGGTTTTTTTCCTGGTTTTTCCCTCATAATTTACTATGGAATCACTAACAGGAGAAATTTTACTGTCATCATGTCATGTGTTTGTCTTTTTAAAGACGAATTAACTTGATATTCATGTAATCGAATGAACTATCTTATAAGTCAGATAAAATTAAATTATTAGAAGAATTTTTCACTATGTAACAAAAAACAAAATTTGTTTAATTTACTGTTTGTATTTTGAGAACGATTTCCGAAGTGAAAATTGAAACGTCAATAAACGTATTTTTATCTTTAATTGTGGCTTATTCCCAGTTTAATAGTAATTAATTTACAATGCCACAAGAAAATAGCTTCAGAACAATATTAAGAGACGCTAATTGTATCCGAACGTCTGCGGTCCCTCTGGTGAATAAGGAAATTTAAAAATGTTGTTCGATGCATTAAATATTCTAAATCTACGCTGCACTTTTATTTTTGTTCTCTAAAATTTAATTTTCTTATCAATCTAATGTTGGGCCAACTGATATGGGAAGATGCTTGTATAGTAAACATTCACAGTGACAAAGAATATTTGGAAATAGAATTAAATCAAAAATTCTCTTTTTAAAAAACCTATACATAAATTACCATAATTTGGGATACCATTAAGAGAGGACCAACGTCTCGAAAAAAAAATATTCAATATATCAAATAGTGGGAAAGTACCTATTGTACGTAAATGTAATCTACATAAACCGTTGATAACAATTTTTGGTTAATCGCGTCGATGGTAATAAAGATTTTTAACTTTATTACTAAGGTATTGTTGTTTTAGAATTGTTAGTAGCTGATAAGCATGGATCCTACACCTATTCAACAATTTTATAAGGATGCCAGCGTATTTATAACTGGAGGGACGGGATTTATGGGCAAAATTCTAGTAGAAAAGCTGTTGAGGTCGACGGAGGTGGGAACTTTGTATTTACTTGTAAGAGAAAAGAAAGGGAAGCGGAAGGATGACAGGATCACAGAAGTGTTCGACGATGTGGTAAGTAATACTTATGATCATGCATGGTCTTGTTGGCTTACATAGTTATTCTTCATTTCTCCCCACGATTGTATAATATTCGCTTTTCTGTGCCAGGTTTTACCGGTTTGTTTCTTTATGTCATAGTCCCATCTTAAATTTGGACGTCTTCTTGATCTCTTGACGCCCCTTGAATATCACAGTGTAATTCTATTGGACCATCTATTGTCAATTTTTCTCGCTAAATGTCCCGCCCACTGCCATTTTAAAGATTTAATTCCGTAGATTTTATCAGTGACAATGGTTTTATGTCTTACTTACTTCGTGGTGTTACAACCATTCGTAGCTTTAGCCGACTCGACAACATGCCTCCACTGATTTCTGTCTTGAGCAACGTCCATCCAATTATATACGCCCATAGTGCTTAGGTATCCTGCTATATTATCTTGCCACCTTAAACGGAGGCGTCCTGGTCTCCTTCTGTCTCTGCTTTAGTTATTCCGGCTCATAAACATATATTTCGTCTTGTTTTCGTTGATTTGCAGCCCCATCTTCTCTGCTTCCTTCTCGAACCTCACGAAAATCTCCTTCATCCTTAATCGTGTGTTTCCTATTAGATCGGTATCGTCTACAAATGCCAGCAGTAAGTTTGGTCCTTCTCGATGAAATACTGTATTCGGTTTTTCGATTCTTGCACTTCTGATTATGTACTCCAGAGCTAAGTTAAAGAGTTGTGGTGAAAGTCCATCTCTCTGTTTTAGTCCATTGTTTATTTCAAATATCTCTGGGTATTGTTGTCCACTCTCACCTTACATTGACTGATTAGTTTTTTTGGAAAGGTAAGTTTCTGCATCGCTATCCACAGTCTGGCCCTGCATACTCTATCAAATTCTTGTTTAAAGTCTATGAACATCTGATGAAGCTCACGATCAAACTCCCAGTATTTTTCTATTATCTGTTTTATTGTAAATATCTGGTCAATAGTAGAGCGGCCGGTCTAAATCCGCATTGATAATCTCCAACGATTTCTTCTGTGTATGTTTTGGTTCTTTCTAGCAGGATGTTTGAAAGGATTTTGTAGGTGGTGTTTAGAAGTGTTATTCCCCGGTAGTTAATACATTGCTTTTTGTTTCCTTTTTTGTGTATTGGTACAATAACCCCTTCTTTCCATTCATCTGGCATTGTTTCTTCTTGCCAAATGTCTTGAATTAGCTTGTATATCGAACTGTACAACGCTTCTCCTCCATGTTTTAAGCACTCTGCGGGTATACCATCGCTATCTGGTGTCTTATTATTTTTAAGTTTTTTAATTTAGTGTATTACTTCTTCGTATGTCAGGTATTGGTTTCTATTTTATGCCTGATCCATTCTATTCTTTTTCAATCTCTCTTTTTTATACCTAGCATCCATCGCTCCACTTTAGGTGATTTTAAGTGATTTTGAGTTTCTCTATTATTTTAATGTTTCTAGATCTCGCAGACAGCCGTTTCCTTTCAGGTCCTCTTCTTCCTAATTTCATTTTTAGTTACTCTCACTACATCAATTCTTTTTGCGTGTACTAAACATTTAATTCCCTGTGCCCTTATTTGTGATTTTATTGAGGGGCTATTGTATAATTTATTTTTTATACATAATCTCCTTATAATTTTCCTTATTCAGACCAGCTTTTGTTTGCCATTAAATTAATATCCATATTTGGCATTCTAAAAGCATTACTTGGTCTGATAACTATTTTATACAATTTCAGTTTTGTTCCCTTAGACACTCTTGTATTTTCTTGCTCTTTAAACGTCGCTTGTTCGAGTCTTAGTAACTTAAGTAAACACAATGATTATAAGTAGAAATTATTACCCCAACGCAAAGATATATGTTTATGGAGAAGAAATCGAACAGGTCAGGCAATTCAAATACTTGGGCTGTTTGCTGAACGAGGGTTGGGACTCCGAGAATGAAATAAAGAGCAGAGTTGAACAGCCAGGAATGCTTTTTTGAGACTTCATAAGTTTCTGACTGATCGCAAATTGGACTTCAACCTCCGATACAAGATGCTTAAGTATTACGTGTGGCCTGTTCCCCTATACGGAATGGAAGCATGGACGTTAAAGGCCAGTTCCATTAACAAACTTGAAGTGTTTGAAATGTGGTGCCTGTGTCGAATGCTTAGAATATCATGGACGGACAGGGTCAGAAATGAGAAAGTACTCAGAAGAGCGGGCTTACAGGATAGGGAACTTTTTAGTTATGTAAAAAGTAAGGAGACTGCATACTTGGGGCACATATTACGAGGAGAAAGATACACTTTTCAGCAACTGATACTCGAAGTTAAGATAGAGGGTAGGAGAGGTCTGGGACGTAAAAAAATGTCATGGCTGCGCAATATTCGACAATGGACAGGAATCCACAGCTATGAAATGCTTCGCAATGCTGCTAAAAACAGAATTATTTAATTCTGAATATTTAACATCTCACCTGACAAGACGATGTACGGTGGACGCCTACGCAGAAATGCACGGCACCTTAAAAATAAGAACTAACTTAACAAGGATACCAATATTATTATTATATTCATTTCTTTGTAGATTTCATTTTTATTTATTTTCATCGTAAATATCTAATGGTGAACGGATTTTTCTCTGCTAAACGTGCCTGGTAATTACCAATGACTTCTTTGTATTACTGTTTCTTTATCTGGTTTATAATACACTTGTATAACACGTCTCTATAAGTTTTCTTCTTTTTGTCATTAACAGTTTTTTCTGAGATTTGCCTTTTTATGTTGCTTTTTTACAGACTTGCAATATGATATTTGTTAAAACTCTCTTTAATTCTTTAATATTTGCTTCATCATCAACATCATTATCCAGCTTTCTGCATCCAAAGTTGAATATAGGCATCCCCTAATTTCTTCCAGTTCTGTCCATTTTGACGTCGTCTGTTTACCTTTGCTTCTTCTGTCAGCTCACTGTAATTTTTTAGTTTCATCCACCCGTCATTTATTTCGACCACATAACCCATCGAGTTTCACTTCAGCCATACTATGTATTCTACGACATCTGTGACCCTATCCTGATTTTTATTTCTTTGTTTCTAACTCTGCCTCTGAGTCAGTATAAGTAGAGACTATTTCCATTCATTTTTAGGCTATTCTGAGTTTGGTTGCTGTCGTCTGTGTTAAGTAAAGTATTTTGGCGCCCTATGACAAAAAGCAGATATTGGTCGAACTCCTTCTTTTTCAAATAATTTGGCATATTGCTTTTGAAGATATCTGATAGAGCTCCATATGCAGTCCATGCTAAAGTGATTCTTCCTTTTAGTTCGGCATTTTAGCTATCCCTAGCAATTTGGATTTTATGACCCAAGAATTAATATTTATGAACTAATCCTATTTTACTGCAGTCGACTTTGGGATTTTCGCTTGGTATCAGATTTGTCACGTATTGAGTCTGTCCAAAACTTATGTTCAAACCAACTTCATTACAGGTGGCATCTAACTCAGTAAGCATAGTTTCAATCTCTTTTAAGTTATCTGTTATCAGAAGAATGTCGTCCGAAAATCCTAGGTGGAAGAGCTTTTTGCAATCACGTTGATTCCTTTAGCTTCCCACCCCAATTTTTTGAAAGCATGTTCCAAAACTACCGTAAAAATTTGGGTGATAACGTGTCTCTTTGACTGATTCCTCTTTTGATATTTATGCATTTGGTATCTTTGTGTAGTCTTTGTATAGATTTCTCTATACTTATTTAGATGTTCTCTCTTCTACTGTCTATACTATCATGCTTTTCGGAATCACGGATCGTATAGATGCTTTTTCTCTAAACTCCATATTACAGAATATGTTTTAAACATTTTAGGTAGGTACGCTAAGAATATGTTTTTTAGGTTTTTAGGAAACTTAAATCAGAAAAACCCAAATTCAAACATCGAGTACAAGCTATATCTGGTGACTTAATGCTACCTAATTTGGGACTATCCGAGTCAGATAGACAGCTTTTAATTTCCAAAGTTAACGTCATTATTCACATGGGAGCAACAATAAAATTCAACGAAAGCATCAGTAGCGCATTACATGCCAATGTATATAGTACCAAAGTAGTTATAGACTTAGCCAAAGAAATGAAACAACTTAAAGTAAGTAAACTCTATATATTATTCTTGGATATGGAGAATTTGATCAGAAAATCAGTGGCGTCTGGTTATATTTGTGTTCAGAGAAACTGATTCGAGAATATAAAAAAATACATAGGTACCAAAAATATACTTCTTAAAATAATAACTCAATTCTTCTGTTTTTATCGAAGATGAACATTTCTATTACAATAAACGATATGACACTATTAAATCTAAAGTAGGTAATCAACCGATTACATTTTCGTTTTTTTATTTTTTTGTTTTCTGGTTTTGAGCAAAATATTGTTAATTCTAATTTGAGGGCATATCATTGGAAATGCATTTTAGAAGATATCAATGTCTTGTAAAAGTAGTTCCATTCTATGATTTTCATAATTTTCTCTTGGAAACACCTATCCACGAGGTAGATGATTTTCAATAGTAAAACGATCCTTAATTTCAAATATAATAGTGTCACAAGTAGATATATTGGAATTCTCCCTTAGAATTTTCTTCCCGTCTCTACGGTTTCCTCGATTCTTGCAAATTTTTCGTTACAGAGTTCATATGTCTCGGATTTTAACACTACCACGCATAAGTCGCTACAATTAATTTCTTAAAATAGAAATAATTTCTTTTAAAAGGCAGATAACTGCCCCACGCTACCTACGTACTTAGATAATATTTTTGTGAACATAATATACATAGTTTTTATTTTACTTTCTTGTATTCAAAAAGGAACCCAATTCCCAAAGCATAAGCAAAAATTTTAAATGATTAAATAATGAAACTATAACAATAGAAGTAATCGAATAAAGTTTATTTATAAATCTACATTAACTTATATACAATAACAAAAACTACAGTTAAACAATAACAATGCTTAATTCTAATGTCAGACTAGTGATTCAAATAAGTAAGAGTGAACACTTTATTTTAGATTTTAAAAGTTAGCTGCATAATAATTGCAAACTGACTTAATGAAGTCCAATTTAGTAATGTTTTGATTAACGTAATATTCATTTAGCCTATTTTCAATAAAATCAAGTTTTCTTTTTGCCGTTTTATCAAGTTTTTTTTTCGAATCTATGTGCAGTTCTAATTTTCACATATACTTCTGCTTGAAAATTTAACAAAATGAGTGTAAATTTAAATATGTCAGGATGTGATTTATAAAAACATTCGTTAAATTTCGAGTGAAATGATTCACATGCGTTTGTAGTAAATATAAGAGATGATGAATTTGAAGCCCATATGTAAGGTGGAAATGTTGAATCTTCCGTTAAATAATTATTAACTAGGTAATCACAAAATTGCAAAACTCTGTCATCTTCGGGCATAATATTAAAAAATTCATCAGAAAAAATGTCACCTACATCATTTGGATGTAAATAAGGAATGCCGAAAAACAATTTTAAATATTTTCCAACAACAGTTTGATTTTTATATTCCGAGGACAAACCTAAATTTTGAATTTTTCGGTACCAATTTTGTGTTAAATGAAATTTGCAACAAAAAATAATAATGTCGGGCCACACTAACTTGGCTGCATTTTGAATTACTAGTTCAAAATCAGAAATTATTCGCTTCGGTTTGAAATTTAAATTCAAATCTGTACATATTGTTATTAATGTATCAAAAGTAATTTTGTACGATTGCTGTGATTTTTTTGGTAACAAACAAAATACTAGAGGAACATAAAAACCATTTTTGTAGCCATGTATAGTAAACATCTGACAAAAATATTTAGAACAGTATTGGAAAGTTCCATCTACATACAAAGAATCTACATTACACAAAAAGTAAAGATTTGTGAAACAACTAAAAATTGCGGAATTATTTTTCGTAGATAATAAAAACTTTTCACCTGTATTTGTTTTTAAATTTAAGTTCACTAACACTTGTAGAACTTCTCCTGTGACTTGGGCAATGATGGCTGTGGAATTTCTTCTTGTAGCATAGATATTTCTTCGAACGCAAGAAATGTCTTTCGTCGTCAGCGGTAAATTGCTGAATTTTTCCTTTCTCAATTCCTTGTGGACAATCTTAAAAGGTTTTTCACATATATCTTATACAGCTGTTCTCTTTGTAGAATTATAAAATTTGCCGGTCTACGTGGATATCTGGAGCATGATTATGCTCGATGCTTTTTCAAGAATAACATAATTTTCATCACCTTTCTTTGTGTACACTATTTTGTTGACAGCCTTTTTTGATGCATCGCCATCTAACTTTTTCCATCTTTGGAGACATGGGCTTTTGAATATTTATATTCATTAATTATTAATAACAGTTTCTCCCCTTTGACTAAACATAGTCGTTGAATTCGCCATTTAAATGTTAAACACAAAACTATACCGTAATACTTGCAACTGAAGTGAATAACTGAAAATATTTATATTCTTACTTTCAACTATGATCAAATTTGGAATTTCCGGTCATTCAGACTTAATCCCCAACTTTCTCGGCGATGGGGCAGTAGGTACTTCGGATTAAAGGCCCCAGGTAGTTCGTGGAGCAGTTCGTAGTCGCCCCATGTATTTTCCCATCAAAAAAGTATCTCTTTCTCCCACACTTTCACATTAGTTCGGCCTACTTTTTTACCAAATATTCTGCGAAGTATCTTTCTTTTCCATACTTCCAATCTGCTTCGTTTGATTGCTGCAAACACATTACCTGCTTTCTCAAATTCCCACATTCTCGATCAAACCATACTTGTCTATGTTTCAGTCTACGTGTACCTGAGTACGTTTCCTGTTTAATATTTTTAAAATTTCTTTCATCTTGTTTTGTCCATTTATTTTTTTGTAGTAAGGGTATAACAAATAAAGAAGTACTGGAGAGGATTGGTAATGAAACAGAACTAACCACCACTATACAAACCAGAAAACTGGAACACCTAGGCCCACGTGATGAAGGGACCAAAATATGAAATTTTGAGACTCATAATACAGGGAATAATTCTAGGAAGAAGATCTGTTGGCCGAAGGCAGAACTCATTGTTGAAGAATCTACGTGATTGGTATCAATGCAGATCGATTGATTTGTTTAGAGCAGCAAGTTCAAAAATAAAAATAGCCATTATGATTGCCAACCTCCGTAGGTAGACGGCACTCTAAGAAGAGAAGACGTAAGGGTAAAATCTTCAGGTCCTCATTATGCACCTGTCCCTGATCCCTCACCATCTTAAACTCCAGAATTATTTGGCACATGATCTGAAAAGTATTTGCAACCTACTGAGAAATCCGTTAATCTCTGCACTAATCCCCTTAGAATACCTCTACCTTTGGTAAATACAGTTTGCTCTTGGGGTATTTCTCTTTGTAAGAATGTTTTTAGTCTGTCGTTGATTATGTGTAGCAATATTTTGCTGGCATGTCAGGTACTGCAGCTTTTTGATTTTAATAGTTTCTATAATTTTCGTACTGTTATGCATACTTCTGGTGAGTTCCTTCTTTTAATCCATGATATTTTCAATATTATGGTATTCATGATATGTTCATGAACATATCATGAATACCATATTCTTGATATGTTCTCTTGTATACCCACGATTCAAATACTTCCAGCTTCTTAATTGTCACTGCGTTCCATCGTAGGATCCACGTCTTCGTTTCATATAGTACTGCAGAAGATATAGCTGAAACAAATAGACGATATAATAGAAGATATAAACGCGAGCTGGAAGAAAGTTAAAATAAACATCGAAGAAGCAGCAACAGAAACTCTAGAAAAACGCAAAGTCATATTGAACTAAAGAAACAACAACAATACATCTTCTTCTTTTTGACGTGCCCTATCAAGTCCCCTTGACGTTGGCGATTAACATAGCGAAACTGTCTGTCTCGAACTATTCTAAATAGTTGCTCAGCTTTTTTTATTCCTGTCCACTCTGTCACTTCAACAAGAGGCCTGCTTACTACCAATTCCTTCTGCGTCCTTCGATTTTACCCATCATAATAAGTTGAAGAATATTATATCGGTCTCCCCTTACTACGTGTCCCAAAATAGGCCATCTTTCTACAGTTGATGTTATCAAGCAGCTCGCGAGCAGCATTAGCTCTCTCAAGGACTTGCCACATTTGTCCAGCATAGCCGTCCATGGAATTTTTAGTATACGTCTATGCAGCTACATTTCAAAGGCTCCAGACGATTAATGGTGGATATTTTTAATGTCCATGCTTGACACCGTATAAGAGGACTGACCAAATGTAGCATTTACCATGCGCTTTCGAAGTTGAAGTTGCAAGTTATCATTACAGAAGAATAACCTCATTTTTAAAAATGTCGTGCGGGCTATCTCGATTCTACATTTTATCTCTTAATCTGAATCTAGTTGTTCAGTAATAGGGCAACCAAGATATTTAAAACTGGACACTCTTTGAATTTATATGACCATCAACATATAATCGTGCATCTTGATGTGCTAAACGGCTAAACAACCATGTGTTTTGTTTTTGCACAGTTTATGTTTAGCCAATGCGCATTTAAAAGGCATTGTAATCCATTCACGTCATCACTAAAATAACTGTATCGTCTGCATATCTGAGTGTATCTATCAGAATTCCATTAACTTTCACGGCCCATTCAAATTATGCAGCGCTTCTTTAAATATTCTATTGAATATAAATTAAATAACAGTGGGGATAGTATACAACCCTGTCTGATACCTCTTTGTATTTTACATATTTCCGTTGATTTTCCGTTTATGCAAGCTGTCGCTGTTTGACGCCAGTATAACTTTTCTATGAATCGTATGTCTTGACTATCAACTCCTTTATCTTTTAATATTGTAATTATTTGTGATGGTGTACTCGATCAAAGGCCTTTCATAGTCAATAAATACAGCAAAGACGTCTTTCCTTTGATCTCTAATAGAGGTATAAATCTAGTGAACAGCGCACTTAAGCTTACCACAAAAGTTCTAACCTGAGACAAGACCTGAAACATCTAAACGAGACGACTACTAGAAACAACAGAAGTAAAAATATTTCGACGATATCAGGGAAAGTCTGTTGGAT